ATTGCAACCAGGTTTTTAGAAAGGTTGAAAAGATGTCCATGGTGTGCTTTCAGTTTACCTTATAAGTATGCGTTCCTTCTTCCCTGTGGTGTTGGGGGCTCCAGGCGTGTGTGGGAATGTGCTGAAGATGATGGCTGCTGGTAGTGTCCGGGTGTCCCCTAGCATAGGCTCCTTGTCCTTCAGAATGACAGATGGTTCCCTGTGCTGGCTGAACTCAAATTCAGCGCCCCCCCCCCCACAAGCTAAGAGCCTAGGAATAATCACCTTCACTGACTATTAACGCATAGTTTGGGAGCTCAGGTATAGCTTAGTGGTAGAAAGTGTGCCTCGCAAACCCAAATCCTTGGGTTTGATCCTAAGCACCAAACAAAAACAAAACAAAAACCACAATACAGCAAAAGCAAAATCATCAGAATAAGAAACATAGTTCTGAATTTCATCCTTAAGAAAACAACCACCTATGACTAGCTTAAATGTGCTCAGGAAGTTCTCTCCCAACCTCCCTCCCACCCTTCTTTCTTTTTCTTCTCTTACTTCCCTTCCTCTCCTCCCTCCCCCTTTCCTTTCTGTCCTCACTTCTTCCTTCCTTCCCTTTCACCCTTCCCTCTTTTCTTCTTTTGTAAAAAAATTTGGGGGACAATTAAAAAAATACAGACAAGCACAATAGAGTATTACAATAAACACCTGTATTTCAACTATCCAAAAATGAGCACCTGTTTTGGTTTGGTCAGATTTGCTTGCAGTTTATTCTTTAAAAAAAAAATTATATATATATATATATATATATATATAAATGAAACTAAATTCCTTCTTTTTTCCTGTTTTCTTTTTATTTTTATTAGGATATATTCATTGTACAGGAGGGATTTATTATGACAATTTCAAATAGGTTTACATTTTACATTGGTTAGAAGGCCTCCACCATCTCTCATCTCTCCCCCCACAACCCTTTCCTTGCCCCACTTAAAGTACTTACAAGAGGTTTCGTCATTCTATTTTGTATACGTATATGTATACATATATGAAGCCCATCAACCACATTCCCTCACCTTCATCTACTCCTTTTCCCCTCCCTCCTTCATAAGTACCCCCTCTACTGTACCTACTTTACAATCCTGTCTTTTGTTATTAATCCTCAAATCAATTTTCAAAGGGGTTTCTCAATGTATTCCCGCTGTGAGTATACTTTACTTTGGTTGGTTCAGTCCCTTCCATTACTCTCCCTTACCCCTTCCTTTCCATCCCCCATTCTTCAACAGCTTTAAATATATATCATTATATCCTCCACCTGTACAGATGTAATATATTTTGATATTGTTGATGTTCTATCATTCTCTTTTTCTCTCCCAACTCCTCCGAGTTCCATAGGGTAGTTTCACAAATATCTTTTTCATGTAAGTTTTGTTTTTGTGTATAAGTTTATCTTTTGAATCTATCTTCCACATATGAGAGAGAACATGTGGCCTTTGTCTTTTTGAACATGGCTTACTTCAGTTAACATGATGTCCTTCAATTGCATCCAACTCAATTCCCTCTTACCTATCGTGTCCTGTCCTTTCCTTTACCTTCTACTTTCTGCTGCCTATACCCCCTGTCCAAAAATGCTCTACCCTAACTTTTTTGGAATGTATTTGACCAGTCCATTAATTATACTTTTGCATATATATACATATATGCAAAGTATATGCATATATATACATATATGCAAAGTATATGCATATATGTATACATATGCATATCTACAAAGAATAGACGCTATTATGTTTAAAATTTTCCTTTCTGTTGCCTTTACTCACATATTATTTGTGAAATATCCACACTGATATCTATAAAACCAATTGATTCCTTTGAACATCTGTGTAGTATTTAATACTATAAATATAGCACATTTTACTTACCCATTCCCCTTGCAGGGTGAATTTTAGATCATTTCCAAGGTTGGGGAAGAATGCAATGCTTTTTTTAGTAGATGTCTCCTTGTATATATGTTCCTTGAACCCAGTATACCCACCAGGAAGGGTTACTATGCATGGGATATGTGTAGCTTACCTTTTGATAAATATAATAAAAGTGTTCACTAGAATATATTCCAATTCATAATTCTGTGAGAAGTAAGCTAGAATATTATACTATTTTCCTTATATCTTGGAAAACATTGAATTTTGTCAGGCCTTTTCATGTTAACTACTTGAATGGAAGAAAAATGGAATCCCATTATTTTAATTTGCATTTTCTTCATGTATAGTAAGGCTGAACTTCCTTTCTTATGTCCATCATCCATTGTGATTTCTCCTTTGAATTACCATTCTTTCTCCTGGTTATGTTTATTTTTTTCTTTTTCTTAGCTTTAGACGGTTCCTTATATATTCCGGTTACTTGTTGCCTACCTGTTACATATGTTGCCGGTATCTTTGGCATGAGATTATTTCTTCAAATGATTAGTACAGTTCAATTGTTATAGTTTCTAACTTGATTGTATGTATTATCAAGAAGTCTGGTATATCTCCCTACCTCTGGTCTGTTGTACATCTTTTTGGGCCTACTTTCCAAATATGCAGCATAGGATGAACCACTTCTCACTGTCCCCTGTGCTGCCTGGCAGCAGCTGTATTCACCTGGGTTGGTGCAGAAGCCTCCTAAGTAACTTTTCCTTCAGTTTACTCTCATCAAAATGCCAGTGAGACCTTATTAAAATAAGTCAGCTTTTGTTCTTGCTGTGCTTAGAACTGTGCAAGGATTTGAACCTTGCTCTGAGTAAAAGCCCAGGTCATTATGGTGGCCTGTGAAGTCCAGCATCTCTCAGCTACTTATCAGTATTTTCTCATCTCTTACCCCTCTGTTTCAGTCACCTGGGCCTCCCTGCTGTTCTTCTCACACACATTCTGTGCATGAGAAATTTCTTCAACCAGAGCCATCTTTTTTGGCTATATCATGCATCTCATTCAGATTTTTCCAGAAACATTACCTCCCAGTGATATCTTTCCTGATCTCATTGCTAAAAATGCAACAATCTCCCCAGCTCACTTTGTTAGTTTCCTAGGGCTTTACTAGCAAAGTACCACAAACAGGACCAGGCTTCCTCTGAAATCTGCAGGGAAGCCTTCCTCACCTCTTTCTGGCTTCTGATAGTTTGTTAGCCATCCTTGGCATTCCTTGTCTTGCAGCTCTGTAACTCCAGTCTTTGTCTCTGTCATCCCATGGTGTTCTCCCTGTTGTCTCTGTGTTCACTTGGTCATCCTTTTAGAAGCTCACCAGTTATATTGGATTAGAGGTCCATCCTACTCCAGAATGACCTTATCTTAAGGCTTTTTCCAAATAAAGTCACATTCTGAGATACTGGAGTTCAACATATCTTTTTTTTTTTTTGAAGGACAGAACAAACATAATTCAACCCATATCATTCATTATCTCCTTTCTTACTCTTTTTCCAGAGCACTTAGCACTATGTAACCAATCATATATTTTACATATTTATTTGGTCTGTCTTCCCCACTATCCAGCAAAAAGGCAGGATGTGGGACTATTATGTTCATTGCTGTAAAGAATAATGTCTGAAAGCTGGTTGTGGTAGCTCACATCCATTATCTCAGCTACTTGGGAGACCAGATCTGAAGGATTGCAGTTTGAGGCCAGCCTGGACAAAAAGTTAGACCTCATCTCAACAAACAAGCTGTGTGTGGTAGTTTACAAATCTGTACTTCCAGCTATGTGGAAGGAATAGGTAAGAAGATCACAGTTAAATGCCAACCCCAAGGAAAAACACAAGATGCTATCCAAAAAATAACTAAAACAAACAAACAAAAAGGTGCTGTGGAGTATGACTCAAGGGGCAGAGCTTCTGTGTAGCAAACACAAGGTTGTTTTCAAACCCTAGTACTGCCCCCTTCCCCAAAAAAAGAAACAAAGAAAAATAAAGAATGGTGCATGACAACTTGGGATCTTAATAATGTTTGTTGAATGAATGTTTTCAATGTTTTTAATTAGTCTTGAGCAGACTTAGTAACATGACACCAGCCAAAGTAGTTTCATTAATAAAAAAAAGGAAATAATGGCCAGTAAACAAAATCCTAGAAAATGAACTTGGTGTTTATGATCATGATATTTTTTTATTTCAAAGAAGGGCATATGAAGGAAATGTAGAGGTAGAGGTAGAGATCAGAGCAGAGAGGGGTTGATGAGTTGGGAGATTAACATACTGTCATTGAGTGATTTATGAGCAGTGAGGTCTCTGGCTCTCTTGTCACTTCTGCACCTTGGAGATAACCCTGCAAGAAAGATGGGATATGTTGTAGGGGAGGTCTCAATTTGCTTGTTCCAGAAACTGTGCTTGGTAGTTACATCCATTTAGAAAAAAGCTGTTCTCTTAATCAGTGTATCCCTGATGTATTATTATGCCCATTTCACAGAGGGAGAATGTGAAGATCAACAGTGTTGAACAGCTGTCTAGGACTCAGAGAATGTACAATACTAGGAACCAAAAGTAGCCCAGGTGTACCAAAAACCTGTGTTCTCTCCCTTGTAATATTCCTTCAGATTCTAGTATATACTTGGCTTTCAAAGGAAAGGAAGTAAACTGACCCAAAAACAACTCTTCAAACAGGTTTTGACATATCACAAAACTGGAGAAGTAATCTTCCTACTAGACTCATGAGTCAGCCTCAGTTTTTTTTCACAATGGAAAGTCCAGCTCCTGAAGAGGCCAAGTGATGAAGGCAGTATGGGCATGGACTAAGAATCAGAAGATGGAGAGGCAAGGCATCATCTTATCACTGTCCTTTGTGTGACCATATATATCACTTATGTTCCTCTGAGCCACATCTCTCTTCTGCAGTGTAATGATAATGTTACCAAAATTGCATGTCTGCTTTTATTCTGCCCTGAAAATAATACCTATGCAGTCACACCAGCTTAATAGTCATGGTGAATGTTTCTAATGAAGTTGTACCTAGAAGCTGTCTGATTCTATGCTGAAACATTTGAATTTCTCGTTTGATATACAGGTATCCCGAAGACGACCTGCCAGTCTCATCCCTCTGCAGAAACTGTATACCCTATATTAAGGACTCCAAAGAGGCAGCTATAGTCTGAAAGGTAGTGTTTGCTTCATTTTTAATTTTTTCAAAGAGTGTGATATACTTGACCTATGGACATCCTTAAAATAGTAGTGACATTCCTTTTGCATATAAAACAGAACTTTGAAAATGATATCATTTCATGGCTAGATTCCCATTGAAAATTTATGCTCTCTCAACTTCTATTTGTAGCTGCCATTTTAAAATTGGAATATAAATATTATGTCAGTTAAATAAAAGAGTGATGACTTGACTTTCTGAAAGAAAGCATTACCTTCCCTTTCTGTGAAGTGTAGCTTAACTGTTACCTGATTGACATGCTATTATATTGTTCTACCCCCACCAGACAGTTACACATATTTAATAATTTTTATGTATGAAGAACAAGGTTAAGCAGTCTCAAAGTCAAGTTGTTCCTCACATGGCTTTGAGAATGATGGTGGAATCGAAATGAAATTAGTAGCAGCAGGAAGGGGCTTGTGTCATGAGACAAATCTAAAATGGATTGGATCAGTTGCCTTTATACATCTTTGAGTGGCTTCACTGGTAAGCTAAATGTGTATTTTTAAAAGATAGCAGTAATAAAGTAGAGTAGATGTATTGTTAGGCTTAGAAAAGAAAACTCTAAAGTTTGGCACCTTGGTGTGCTGAGTACTTTGAACTGCAGGATGTTGGCAGGCCCTCAGAAGTGAAGTCTCTCTCTGACTTTCTCCTGCTCCCTTCTTTTGCCCAAGGCAAGCCATAGAAACTAGAACCCCTCTCCTTCAAAGCCAGCCATGAAATCTAGAAATATTACTCTATAACTTTCCTGAGGAATATCCTGTATAAGGTTTGGCCATGAAGAAATTCTCTGATCTACCTTGTCTTGAAAGATCCTCATTCCAGAAGAGATTCTGTTCTATACCTTGGGATAAAAGATTGCCATAGAGAAAGGCTAAGAAACATGAATGGACAGGTCTTGCTGAATTTCTCCTCTCAGTCTATTATCCAATCACATTTCTGTGTGGCTGTTTCTTCATTATCTAATCTAAGCATAAAAATAGACAGTTTTCCCTGGGTCTCTGGGGATTCATCTCTGAAGGTTCCTGTGTCACAAAAAATCTTTGATTACATAAATTTGTTATACTTTTCTTGTGTTAACCTGTCCTTTGTCATAGGATATTGACTAGGATCCTATGGAGCGTCAGGAAAAGTGTCACATTTTTCCCCCTCTATAGTACTAATTTAGCAATTTCCCCAGCATGTGGTCAAGGGATTCCTTCTTTATTTTTCTTCTTTTTACTTTATTTTCTTGAGACAAGGTCTTGCTCTGAAGCCCAGGTTAGCCTGGAATTCATAATCCTCTTGCTTTAGCCTCCAAGTCCTATGCACTATTACCCCAGAAGGCTGTATCAGTTTAACTCTCCTTCGTGTAAATCCTTCTTTTCTGTCATCCTTCTCATCCCTACTCCTCTAACAATATCTCCTAGGAGTAAGGAGAGATTTTCTCAGCAAACAATAGATATAAATATATTGAATAGTCCCTATGTGCCAGAAAACAATATTGCACTTCTTGTCTTACTTTTAGTTAAGACCTAATTTCCTGTATTCACTTTACACTGTGCACTTACTCATTCTTGGTCCTGCCTTTTTTTCTCTCTTGCTGCATGGTCATTTAAAATCCATGGGTTTATGCAAATCTTACTAAGTTGTGCAGATTTAGTTCTACAATTTGTAGGCGTGTGGGATGTTTCTGCGCCTTCTATAAGTACTCACCAAATACAGGTAATGGTGGGATGAGGCAGGCATCTTCAGCTTCCTAACCTGCCTGACTTCTTCACTGCTCCCAAATCACCAACCTGTCTAAAGACTTTCCGTGGAAAAGAGGTTTCAAGGCAGTGAGTGTACTATGAGTCTTTGCGTGTAGTGATTTAACCCTTCTCTAGTTGTTCTGTTTAGTGTTTTAAGCCCTAAAACAAGGCTCTTTTAATCATGAAAGCTGTCAATATTATATATATAATTTATACATTATATTTTACAAATATGAACGACAGGGGTAGCATTTTAATATCAGTAATTTTTGAAAGAGAAATTGCTGACTATTTTCAAGTTTTAGAAACCTCATTTATTCTTCCATGCTTAGAAAGACTTCTCTTTTCTCTCCTAACCTTAAAGGGCATGTGCCTAATGATTTCAAGTGCCTCCTCTTTGCTGTTTCTGCTGTTCACTGATTTCTGCTGTTTGCTATCTGATCTCAACCAACTCACTTAACTTTTCTGAACTCTGGTTTCTTCCTCCATAAAATGAGGCTAATTATAGGAACTACCTCATAGAATGGTTATGAAGAATTAAATGATAATTTATGTAAAGTGGTTAGGAAGGTGTCTTGCATGCAGAAGCTCTCAAGAAATGGAAGCCTGAATGATTATTATTAGAAGGAAATGTATACTTACTGACTCTGGGTTGGTATTGAAGGATTTCCACTATTTTATTTCTGTTAGAATATTATAGAGATATTTGAGACCTGAAAGTAAGGCAAAATAATATGGCAGAGTGCCATGTAGATAATTTTTGGTAGTCATGATCCTGCATAAACTTCATAGTTTTGAGATTAAATACTGCCGTCTAAGAGCTGGCTATGATTGATATTTTATCATTTAACTTTATGCTGTGCTTTCATTCCATATCTTCTTATGTGCTTGGCAAGATGATCAAGGAAGCCCAGTGTCTAAGTTCTGTTTCTTTTTAAAAGTAAAACCAGGGCTGGGGTTGCTCAGTGGTAGAGCACTTGCCTAGCATGCATGATGCCTTGGGTTCAATGTTAAACACTGCAAAAAGATAAAAATAAAAATAAACTCAGTATCACTGGATGAGGAATGGATGGAGATAAAGTATTTTCGAGGAGTGGAGTTAAGAATACAGAGGAATGCTTCCACTTCTTTATGGCTAAGGAAGCTCTACTGATCTGACATTCTCATAGATATCAACAATAATAAAGATGAGAGAGAGTAAAAATGAGAAAATAAGTAGGTAGATCCTTTATGGAGTTGAAATTCAAAACTTGGAAGGATAGAAGTGCAATATGAGCATCTCATTTTATAACTTTTGGACTGAGAGTAGGCTGAATTTAATGTCACTTGGAATGGCTCACCTCCAATGGAAAACTTATTAGTCTTTTGAAGACCCAAACAACAGAGTTCAGGGCAATGACAGTCACCGAAACATGAGTTTAGAATCCTGGGAAAGAGAGAGACAGAGAATGGAAGCTCCTAATTTTGTGTATAAATTGAAAGAGCTGAATTTAGATTTGAGCAAGCTGCCACCCAGGAGATCGTTTCAATTTGAGTATAACAAAATTAATTGCCTGCTGAAACAAATAAATCAATACTCTTCAGAGAACTAAAACAGAATTTGGACTCTTCATACCATAACATTTGTATTCAAAGATTCATGCATACATTCACATGATACAACCTAACATTACATGACATATGAAGAACCAAGAAAACATGAGCAAGTTTGAAAAAAAAGGCAGTTATCTGACACCAGTTCCAAGCTGACCAAAATGTAGGAGTTAATGGGTAAAGCTTTTAATGCAGCTATTGTAACTATGCTCCATAAAGAACAGGATATACTTAAACTGAATAAGTAGTAAATAGAAAGTATAAAAAAGAATGAAATAGAAATTCTAGAAGTGAAAAATGCAGCATTTGAAATTAAAATTCACAAGTGGCTTATGGTAGTTGGAGGGAACCAAGGAAAGTGCCAATGAACCTGAAGACAGATCCATAGAAAATTTCTCTCTGAAGCACAAAAAGAAAAAAGAGCTAGGCAACTGAACAGAAAAAAAAAAAAAGAATCGAATTTCAGGGACTCGATGTAGCAAAAATTAAACATCTAGCATACATGTAATTGTAGTCTCAGAAGGGGAAGAGAAATGGAATGATACAAAAAAGTATGTTTAAATAAATAATGGCCAAAATGTTCCAATTTGGTGAAATACATAAATGTACAGCTCAAAAATCTCAGCAACTCCAAGTTGCACAACAGAACAAAACTGTGCGTTGGCACTTCTTATCCAAACTGCTGAGAGCACCGACAGTGAAGAGAAAATCTTGATAGTAGCCAGAGGGTGCTTTGAGGGAAACGATGCTTTAAATGAGCACTGACAGGCTGGCAGAGTGGTTCAACAGGTAGAGTGCCTGCCTATCAATCCTGAGGCTCTGAGTTCAAATCCCAGTACTACCAAAAAATGAGCACTGGCTTCTTATCAGAAATTACAGAGGTTGGAAAAAGTGATAGGATGTTTTTAAAGTACAAGGGAGGGAAAAAAGGTAAAAGAAAAAAAGTTAACTCAAAATTCTATGCATAGTGAAAATATCCTTTGAAAATAAAGACATTTTCAGATAAAAGAATACTTAAGAGAATTTATTGCTTGCAGACCTATCCCATAAGAAAGGCTAAAGGAAGTTGTTCAGGCTGAAGTGAGATACCATCAGACAGAACCTTAAATTTTAAGAAGGAATGAAAAATATTGGAAATTGTAAAATAAAAAAGCATATTTTTCCATCTTAAAAATTTTTAAAAACATAGGACCTGTGGTGTTTATGATGTAATGCGTGTAGATGCAGTACACATGACAATTACAGTGTAAAGAATGAGAAGATGGATTTACATCATGGCAAATTTTTCAAATTTTATGTGAGTTAGCATGAAATTAATTTTAAGAATATTGTGAAAGATCAAGAATGTAAACTTTAGTCACTAGAACAATCCCTAAAAAATATCAATAGATAAAATAAAATCCTATTTTTAAAAAGATGATCCCAAACTATTGCAGAAAAGAAGAATCAGAGAGGACTAGAGGCAAGTGATAGAGTGCTTGCCTAGGAAGTGCAAGGCTTGAGTTCAACCCCAGTACTGCCAAAAAAAAACCAAAAAGAAATGTTTCTTAGCTGGATGCTGGTGGATCATGCCTATAATCCCAGCTACTCAGGAAGCAGAGATCAAGAGGAGTAAGGTTCTAAGCCAGCCTGGGCAAATAGTTCCTGAGACCCAATCTCTACCCAATACAAAAAAGGGCTGGCCATGTGACTCAGGTGGTAAGAGCGCCTGCCTAGCAAGTGTGAGGTCCTGAGTTTAAACCTCAGTACAGAAAGGGAGGAAGGAGGAAGGAAGAGAGGGAAGGAGGGAGGAAGGAAAGAAGAAAGGAAG